GTTTATTTTATTTTTCATTATTTTATATATATTTCATTTATATATTTAATCATGTTATATAATTTTTTAATTTTTTTTTTAATTATATTATATATTAATATAATATATTAATTTAATTATATTATATATTAAATAATTTGATGAATTTATTTATTACAGATTGTTACATTAATTGAAATAAGATGAAGTTTGCAGAACATCTATCTGCTCATATTACGCCTGAATGGCGTAAACAATATATTAGTTATGAGGTAAAATAAATTAATATAAAAAATTAAGATGTCAATATTTTATTTCAAATTTATTATTATAGAAATAGAAACAAAATATAATCTTATTAAAACTATTAATTAATATGATTAATAATCCTTTTTGGATCAATAGGAAATGAAGGCTATGCTCTATACTGCAGTAGAAGAAGCACCATCAGCTGAAAGTGTTGAACCAGAAGTTATATCTCGACATTTTGCTTCTTTTGATGAAGTATTTTTTACATTTTGTGATCGTGAATTAAAGAAAATTAATACATTTTATTCTGGTAAGAGAGTTTTGTTAAAATTAAACATATATGAATTATATATGAATTAAATCAAATTAATAAAAATTTATTAATTATATTTATTAACAACAAAATATTCTATACTTAATATTTATTTTTTATATATATTTTTTTATATATATTTTATATGTATAGAAAAATTGGCAGAAGCTACACGTAAATATGCAGCTCTTCAAAATGAATTGAAAACAGCATTAGAATTACAGCAAGGTGGAGGAAAAAATAAAGGGAAAGTGATTGCTAAACCTCATTTACCAACAAGAAAGTTGAGAGAATTGAAACTTGCATTCTCAGAATTTTACTTATCTCTTATACTTCTTCAAAATTATCAAAATCTTAATTACACTGGTTTTCGAAAGATTCTTAAAAAACATGACAAGGTATATCGGAAGAGAGATTTTGTTAGTTATCATTGCATTAATTCATACTTAATTTTTTTTGTATTTCTCTAGGTTTACAGGTTACTAGGTTTTCATTTAAACAATAATGAAAATAAGGAAAGAACTAATACTTATTTTAAAGTCCCTTATCCTATTAAACACAAGTAAAAACTCAGCACACCTCATACATTGTAGCAACTTGTGTTTTTTATATATACAAAATATAATATTGTTTTTATTTCTATTTTCAGTTATTGTCTGTAGATAGTGGATCAAAATGGAGGGTCGAATGTGTAGAAACTTCACATTTCTATACATCAAAAGATATAGACAAACTCATACAAGATACAGAAACTACAGTAACAAATGACTTAGAAGGTGGAGATAGACAACGTGCTATGAAACGTTTACGCGTTCCACCTTTAGGAGAACATCAAAGTCCATGGACTACTTTTAAGGTTGGATTATTCTCTGGTAGTTTCATTGTCCTATTCGTAACAGTTGTACTTTCAGGTAATAACAAAAATTATATAAATAATTATATAAATTATATAAATTAAATTATATAAATAATTAATTATAATTATATTTATTTTCTTTATTTTATTTTTAGCTATATTTCACGATGGCGGAGAAAACTTAAAAATTGCATTTAGATTATATCGTGGACCTCTACTTATTATACAATTTTTATTTCTTATTGGTGTAAATGTTTATGGATGGCGATCGTCTGGTGTGAACCATGTATTGATATTTGAATTAGATCCACGAAATCATTTATCTGAACAACATCTTATGGAATTAGCTGCAGTTCTTGGAGTTATATGGACTCTTAGTTTATTAAGCTTTTTGTACAGTGCTAGCTTAAGCATTCCACCATACGTAAATCCATTAGTTTTAGTTTGTATCATGTTAGCATTTTTATTAAATCCGTTAAAAATGTTTCGCCATGAAGCACGATTTTGGCTATTAAAAATAATCGTAAGTTATATTAATATATAATATAATATAGTGTTAAGAATTGCAATTAATAAAAATTCAAATTTTATTTTATTTTTATTTTTAGGGAAGAGTTTTAATATCGCCATTCGCATATGTAAATTTCGCTGATTTTTGGTTGGCGGATCAATTAAACAGTATGGCTACAGCATTATTAGATTTCCATTTTTTAGCGTGTTTTTATATTACCAATGGAAATTGGTTAGAGGCAGGAGATTCCACGCAATGTATGTCTGGATCCTTAATTGTTAGACCTATTGTTAATTGTCTACCTGCATGGTTTCGTTTTGCACAATGTATTCGACGATATCGTGATTCCAAAGAAGCATTTCCACATTTAGCTAATGCTGGCAAATATTCAACTACATTCCTTGTTGTAATATGTAATACTATGTGTGCTTATCGTGCTGGTAAGGGTAATTTTTTATATTATTAATTATATTATAACAAAAAGATAAAAAATAATAATTTTAGTGGAATATCAAACTCGTTGGGAAAATCCATGGTTGTGGCTTTGGATTATTAGTTGTATTGTCAATTCAATTTATTCAGTAACTTGGGATTTGAAAATGGATTGGGGTTTGTTAGACAGCAATGCTGGTGAAAATAAATTTTTACGCGAAGAAGTTGTATATTCAGCAGCTGTATGTAAATGAAGTTATTGTCTAATTTTTCTTCATTATTAAAACATTTATCGCATATGATATTTCTTCTAGGGATTCTATTATTTTGCTATAATCGAAGATTTTATATTGAGATTTGCATGGATTGCGAGTTTTGTTCTTATTGAATGTGAATATGTATCCAGTGATTTAATGACATCTATAGTAGCACCTCTAGAAGTTTTTAGGTAAGAAGTTTTTAGCTATATTTTATCAAATATTTAATTATTTCATTATATAAGTAATTTTCATTAAATATTTGTATTATCAATTGATTTATAAAAATATATTTTTATTTTAAGACGGTTCGTTTGGAATTTCTTTCGATTGGAAAACGAACATTTAAATAATTGTGGTAAATTTCGCGCTGTTCGTGATATATCGATAGCACCGATAGAAAGTTCTGATCAGACACAAATTTTGCGTATGATGGATGAAGAAAATGGTGTACTTAATAGAGGTAAACGCAAAGTTGGTGGTAAAAGACAAGCTAATACCAAAGAAGATAAACGAACATTACTCAAAGAAGAAACGATTGATATAGATATATCAAATGCTAGTTGAAATTAATTTAATTTTTTTATTCATTGGAAGTTTAAAAAAATATTGTACTAAATTCGTTACAGTTTTTATAAGAATTTAATTAGAACAAATGCAAGTCGAACTTTATGAAAGATTAATATTTTTTTTATTTATCAAAATTGAAGAAGTAAGGCTAAACTAAACAAGTGCCTTATATATAATATGTTTAAAATATTTCTTTATTCTTTATATTAAGCAAATTTAATAATTTAATGTTATGATACCATATAATATCATATGTCTTCCATAAAACTATTTTGGCACTTACTATATAATTTATTGCTAATAAATTGATTTAAAAAATGAAAATTAATGAAAATATTTAATTAATATTTAGAATAAATAATATATTCAAAAAAAAGCAAATTATTTTATTAGCAATATATATGTTAATAATATTTATTATATAGTCTTCAATTTTGATTAATAAATGTAAAAGTTCTATACTTATTTAGAAAATGTATAAAGTGTATGATAGAAATTTATAGTTGTATATAATAGTGAATTATATGTAGAAACAGGGTTGTCGCTTCAATATGTACATGTTCATGTTGATGCAACAAATAATAGTCTATTTACAAATTAGTATTATAATTTTAAACAAATAAAAATCGCTCATTATTTGATATTTGATATGATATGATAATATCCATAATTATTTTTAAATAGAAAAAATAATATGTGAATTAATAATCAGCAGAAAATATATAGTGCACAACTTATAAAGCAATTATACTTGAATTAATTTCATTTAATACTTATTAGATTATAATATTTTTAATATTAATAAGTATTATTTTTAATTATCTATCTTTGTGATAAAATATTGATTTACTTTTGTGCTACGTAATACAAGAGCTTATAAAAGAACTATATAGATAAATGCAAAAAGAAAAAAAATGAATTTGATACATGGGAATTTTATTTAAGCAAAATAAAAGATAATAAATAGATATTCAATATTAAGTATTAAGATATTAAGTACTTAAGATTATATACCGTAACATTTTTATAAAAATATTTACACTCTCAATTTATATTCCAGAAAGTTCAAAATATATCCATATATTTATCAAAATTACTTTTAAAATAAATATCGATAAAAATAATAAAAATCATAACTTTAATATAAATTCTTAATATTAATAATTAATATTAATAACAATATTAATGAATTATCATTTATTATTTGATAAAAAATAAAAATTACATTCAAAAAATTATCTATATAAAGAAAAAAAGAATGTCGATAATCTTATTTGTTCATTTAAAAAACTTAATATTTTATATTGCTTTAATCTCGTTCATATATTAAGTATTCCAATGATTGTGATGCTTTTATGTATGTATTTTTATATATTTTGTTATAGAAATAGTAATGAAAATGAAATGGATAATAATAATAAAGAAAACTTACTTTTATTAAAAAAATAGAGATATTTTTATATTTCTTATACAAGATATATACTAGTTATATATCTTTTTTGAAAAACGCGCAATATATGCCATATGTGATTACAAGTAATCTTAAGTAACTTGTAGTGAATTTAATTGTAAACAATACTAGTATTTAAAATATTTACATTAAAAAAATAGCGAACAAATATTTAAAAAAATATATTGTATTTTTTATTTTACTATTTGGGAATAATAATTATACTCGATAATGTGTTTTATTTTTTAAATTTATTTTTTCATAACAGTACATGATATATATTATATATACACGATAAAGTTCGCATTGAATTAACTTCGAGTATTAACATATAATTGTACAATAAAGTGGCGATATTAAATCAGCATCACTTATAACATTTCATAAACTAAATTATAAAAAAAGACAATAATTACAAATGATTCAAATGATTTTACGCATTAAATACCTATTTTAATATCAGGTATCTAGAAGTTTGTTATTAATGTAATAGAATCTTATTCCAAAAACTATTTTAAATATTTTAATGTATTTTATCTTAATTCTTTGAAATTCTATATTGAAATTGGTTTAAGATATTTTTATATTAATTTTTAAAATATGATAAAATTTTTTAAAAACTAATTTCAATATTTGTATAGATTGTTTTAATTTATATATGTATTTATTAATAAAATGTATTATTTCTTATAAAAAAACTTCAATAACTTAAGAAAAAAATAAAAAATTAAGTAAAACATTTTTTTGTATATTTTACAAATCTAGCAAATTAAAACTTGTAAAATATTTTTAAAAACTTATTTATTCTTGTAATCATATAAGTATATATTAAAAAAATAAGTAAACAACTTTGGCAGTATAAAACTTTAAAAATTAGTTTTTTAATTATTAGATAAAATATAAAATATTAACAATTCTTATGTTTATTTTCCAATGATTCTTTTAAAAATTCTTATATATTAAAAATAAATTTATATCTTTATATATAATATTTTGAAATATTATAATTTACCTTTGGAATTATTGTATAACAAATATTCAAAACTATATATTGTTATTCTTTCAAAGCTGGATTTTTTCTCCTTAAAATACATATCATTTTTTAATGAATAATATACAACAATATGAATAACAATTGGTATAAAATAGCATAAGAAATAAATAAATTTATTAATTTTTAAAATCTCATTAAATATAATCATTTTTATACAATTAAAAATACAGCATATGTATCTATTTTTTATTTCAAGAATTTCATTACAATTTCCAATTATGAAAGGTGAATAATTAATATCTACAATAGCAATTAAAATTGTAATGTGAATACTAGAAATGATGAAATAAATTGATACAACGAAATTGTAGAAATAAAGCCTCGAGTGAAGTGCTTAAATTGCTTCATATATATATGTATATATTCAAATAATACAAAACTTTTCTTGTAATGCTAAATTATGTACATTTACATGTGTAAATGTATAAGGATTTTTTTTTGCATTGGTTATAAAAATAACTCGAAATAATTTGAAAACATCACATTTTTAAGAAGTTTTCGCGGTACCGATTTCACTGCCATGACTACTGGAGGCTTTAGATTTCCTTTCTGGGTCCATAGCAATTGAAATGAACTCTTCTGAGATTTTTTTATCCAATCCTGTATATGTTTGAGCTAGATCTACTTGATCTTCTCCTATAGAAGACATTCTTTTCGGGGATTCCGATTTTCTTTCAGTTTGCCTCTTTCTTTCCATAGTATCTTCAGTTATGTGGCGTTTTTGTTTTGATCGAATCTTTTAACAATTGTAAAAACTTTACATTATCATTTTTTTCTTATTTATAATACATATTTTATATTTGTAATTATATATATAATTAATATAATATTTATATTATATTAATTTAGATTTTATTACGAAATAATTAGAATCGATATGGAATATAATAATGATTATTTAAAATGGATTGAGAATGAATGATAAGGAATAATATTATAGTAAAAATACGTACAATTTGTGATGGAGCACGAGCAGCGTATGGCATATGCGGTAACATAGGAACGGCACCATAAGGTGGACTAGCTATTGGCAAAGGCCCGGTAGGCATAAATCCTCCAGGAAATTTTGCAGG